ATATATATATATTTGCTGTTTTAACCATGTTTAAGTATGTGACTTGGGGACATAAGCTACACTCCGAGTGCTGACTGCTCCCCCAGCCCCGGGCATCCCCCCTCTGTGTGAATGTGCCTCATGTGCGTGGGCCCTTGCAGAGGGTCCTTGCAGAGGGTCCCTGCAGAGGGTCCTCCTGCGGCGGCTCCGCCCACCAGCATCACAGTCTTGAGGTGCATCCATGCTGCCGCACTTGTCAGTACCTCAGGACTTTTTTGGAGGGAGTGTTGGTGATTTATTTGGGGATCCCTTCCAGGGAGCAGGATTAAGGGAGTTAAAAGTGTGAAACAGAGAGATGGAAAGTTCAATATAAGAATATTTTAATCGAGGCATGACTGACATGAAATTATATTTATTAATTTCAGATGAACTGCACAGTGGTTCAATATTGTATACAGTTAACCCTTGAAAAATGTGGGGATTAGGGGTACTCATCCCATATGCTATCAAAATATGTGCATGATATCTAAGTCCCAAAAACTTAACTACTAACAGCCTATGGCTGACCAGAAGCCTCAATGGTAACATAAACAGTCCATTAACATATTTGTATGGTATGTGTATTACATACTTTATTCTTACACTAAAGTAAGCTAGAGAAAGCAAATCTGTCACCATACATAGTTATAAGTTTATTTTTCTTGATGAGTTCTCCAGATAAGTTCTTTTCTTGTGCTGGTTTCAGAGGCACATCACAGTGGTTCAGCAGTCGCTGTGATCAACTTATATTGTGACTGAAAATTCCTGTGGCCCTTTAACCCCCTCCCTCTCCTCTCTGCACCTGGAGAAAAGATCTTGATGAGAACTTTTAAGATTTACTTCCTTAGCAACTTTCAAATATGCACGACAGTATTATTAACTAGAGTCTCCAGTACATTACAACCCCATGACTTATTTATTTTATAATTGGAAGTTTCCCTCCTTTTTAAGGCTGAATAATATTCCACTGTGTGGCTAGACCACATTTGGCCCACCCAGTCATCTGCTATGAACACGGGTTGCTCCCACCATCAGGTGGGTGTAGGTGGGTATGTGAGCATGGGTGCACAAGGACACATTGGGTTGTGTCCCTAATATAAATTCTTTTGGGTATGTTCTTAGGAGAGGAATTCCTGGGTCATGTGGTAATGTTATGTTTGACTTTCTGAGCAACTGTCAAGTTGTTTTCTGTAGTGGCTGTATCAGTTTTCACTCCTTTGAGCAACGCACAGACAAGGGCTGCAGTTTCTCCACACCCTCGCCACCACTAGTTAGTTTTGAGTTTTTCGAACCTTGCCATCTGGTGGGTGTGGAGTGGGGGTCTCGCTGTGGCTTTGAGTTGTATTTCCCTGGTGATAATGACGTAGAGCATCTTTTCATGGGCTCACTGGCCAGCTGCACATCTCTGAAGAAATGTCTCTGCACGTCCTTCGCCCATTTTTAAGTTGGGTTGTCTGTCTTTTGGTTGTTGAGCTGCAGGAGACCTTCATACATTCTGGGTATCAAACCCTTCTCTGGAGCTGGGATTTGAACCTGCTCCGGATGCTGCTTCTCCCAGCCCCCCGGAACGCCGTGGCCCCGTGGCCCCTGAGCGGCGCTGAGGCCTCAGTGCTCTTCCGCTCTTACCTTCACCGGCGGCTCTGATCGGGCAGCATCCTTCAGGGAGGCCGCTCCCAGGAGCGCAGGGCCCAGGAGGTTGTCCGGGGCTTGGAGGCCTGGGGGCTGCACTGTCCTAGGCCCTCGGGGGACCTTGTGTGGACAGGGAGGCGGCTGCAGGGTGAGCAGGGGGCAGGGGAGTCCTGGTCCTGCCTGCCTCTGGTGCTGTGGGGTCAGGCCCCATACTGGCTGCTCACAGGCTGTCCTGAGGGCCGTGTGGACCCACCACTCACTGGGTTGGCGCCCAGACCACAGCAGCTGCCCGACGAGGTGAAGAGGGGGCACTGGTGTACGGACAGCAGGGGTGTACCCGCTGCCTGGGGGAGTCGGCCTCCTGAGCAGAGGTGCCCATGGCTCTAGAACACGCGAACCCCGACCCCCCCTCCGGTGTCTCCAGCAGATGCGGCCTGTTGGGGTCTGGGGCTGGGGCTGATCCACGGAGTCGGACACCCTGTGAAGCGCATCATGCCCTTGCCATCTCGCACTGAGCCCCAGAGAGGGCGGGGGCGCAGCGAAAGCCCCCTGGTGAGACCCACACTGGCCCCAAGACAGGCTGCTGGTGCGGCATCTCAGGCAGGGGGTTTGAGCCTGAGCTTCCGCTGGGACTGGGGAGACTCCCTCTGCCCAGCGCCCAGGGACAGGGGCTCGCCGCCTCTGAAGCAGCCTGCTCTGCAGCTGGGCGGCTCTGATGGCTTCCGGCTGGGAGCAGGCAGAGGGGTGGCTGTGGGGCCCGGGCAGCTGAGCCGAGCTGTCCCATCCTCCCCATTCTGAGCATAAAGGGCAAGCGACCTCTTGGGTCACTTGGAGGAAAGAGCCAGGCAGTATTTGACCTTGGCCTGGCCGAGTCCAGCCAGGAACCAGCGTCTGCTGCTAGCCTCCGGAGCCCCAGGCCACCAGGCTGCTCGCTGGGCAGGAGGGGAGGACACAGGGTGCTAGTGGCCCACACTGACTGTCCCAGGGCTGCCCCAGGACAAGCACTTGCCTTCACGGGTCTCAGTGTCCCTTTTACCTCTGAAGGCCTGTCTGCTCTACCCAGGGAACTGGGGATCAGAGCAGACCGGAGACATCTGCCATCCGGGGCATGTGATGACACATGGCCTCTCCTTCCCCATGCCTGCACCAGCCAAGCCCCCTCCTGGCAGCTGCAAGGTTTCTAGCAGGCTGGTTGTCTGGCCCCAGGGCACCTGCCCCACCCGTCCGCTTCCTGTCCTTCTGCGGGTCTGGCTGCTGTTTGGCAGGGAAGGCCCACCCCTGCACGGCCAACTCCCACTCTCATTGTTTTTTATTTTCCTGCAAAACAAAATACAGAAAAGTTCAAAAGTACAGAAGACTTTGTAACACCTGCCACCCCAAACACACATTCAACATTTTATCATGCTTCCTTCAGATCTTGTTTAGGGTCTGAGACACTGGGGACAAGCCCGGTCCCCTCCCCCAGCCCTCGTTCTGCTCCCCTCAGGTTCCTGGTGAGTCTGGGGCACCAGTGCACCTGTCACCCTCTGGCCACGACAGTGCACGGCACTGCCACGCAGTTTACTCGCAGCTCTGGGCAGCTGTTTAGATTTTGGAATTTACGTTCCTGTGACCCATGGTGACACATGTTCTTTATTTAGGCTGGTGGCAAAGACCCCCACTGGGAGACATCTCTATAAGCCCCCCAGGTGGGAGGGAGGTGGTCTACCTGCCTCTGCACACCAAGATCAGGATGCTCCTAGGCTCCAGGGAGCAGCGCCATGTCTTATAGCGGCAGTTGGGGGCACCTAGGATCATGGAAGGAGGGCTGGAGGGAGGATGGCAGGAAGGACGGGAGGAGGGAAGGTGAGAGGGACGACGGAGGACGGAGGAGGGTGAGGGGAGCCCCCGCCCCCCGTTCCCTCTAGGCCCGTGCAGGGAGCATCCGCTTATGTTCTCCATGATCCTACCTGCAGCCAAGTACCCGGCCATCAAGGCCCTGATGCGGCCGGACCCTCATCTCAAGTGGGCGGTGCTTGTGCTGGTGCTGGCACAGTTGCTGGCCTGCTGGCTCGTGCGGGGGCTGGCGTGGCGCTGGCTGCTCTTCTGGGCCTATGCCTTTGGCGGCTGTGTGAACCACTCGCTGACGCTGGCCATCCACGACATCTCACACAACGCCGCCTTTGGCACTGGCCGTGCCGCCCACAACCGCTGGTTCGCTGTGTTTGCCAACCTGCCCATGGGCGTGCCCTACGCTGCCTCCTTCAAGAAGTACCATGTGGACCACCACCGCTACCTGGGCGGCGACGGGCTGGACGTGGACGTGCCCACGCGCCTGGAGGGCTGGCTCTTCTGCACGCCGGCCCGCAAGCTGCTCTGGTTGGTGCTGCAGCCTTTCTTCTACTCCCTGCGGCCGCTGTGTGTGAACCCCAAGGCTGTGACCCGCATGGAGGTGTGCAACGCCCTGGTGCAGCTGGCAGCCGATGCCACCATCTTCATCCTCGGGGGGCTCAAGCCCATGGCCTACCTGCTGGCCAGCTCCCTGCTGGGCCTGGGCCTGCACCCCATCTCAGGCCACTTTGTGGCCGAGCACTACATGTTCCTCAAGGGCCACGAGACCTACTCCTACTATGGGCCCCTCAACTGGATCACCTTCAACGTGGGCTACCACATGGAGCACCACGACTTCCCCAGCATCCCGGGCTGCAATCTGCCCCTGGTAGGTGGCCGTGGCTGGGCAGGCAGGGCTGTGCTGTGGCGGCCGAGGGTGCACGGGAGCCTTAGGAGGTGGGCAGGTGTGAGGAGGGCCTCGGCACCATCTGGCCTCCTTTTCCTTTCATGTTGATCCTGGGATGGCCAAGTTCTAAGTCGCGGTCCTGGGGCAATTGCAGAGGCCCTTGCTGGAGAATAAGGAGGCTTAGGGGGCACAGCGCTCGGAGGGCATTTTACAGTTTAGGCCACTTGGTTTGGTGAAAGCCTGTTGGAGCCCAGCTACAACAGTCACTGGCTCTGTGTCCTGGGAAAGCCACTTGCTGTCTCTTTTTCTGCTTCCTCTTCTGTAAAATGGGGTGTCACTTAAAATGGGATCTCCTCCTATTTCTCCTCATTTCTTGTCACTGCCCTGTGAGCCCTGGGATCCCCCTCATGGCACGGAGAGGAGGTGGACCTTGCCTCATGTGACCCAAGGAGCTTTGCCTGAGCTGCCTCTGAGCAGAAGCCTTGGAGGACAGAGCCTCGGTCTTGGGAGACCTTGGCTGGGGAATTTCTGGAGAGGAAAGGAGGAGAGAAAGGGGAGGGGAGGGGGGGAGGGGAGGGGGAGGAGCGGAAGCAGCTCTGGTCTGGTGCTGGTTGCTTACAAGGGGCAGAGGTGACCCCAGGCACAGGGTAGCTGGAGGCTGCAGTGATGGGGAGGGTGTGGGTGTGCACATCCCTGCTTGCCTACCCATGTATGCACAGGCCCCTGCAGGCGTGTACTTGCCTGTGCACGTGTGTGCATGCCCATGTGTGCAGGTGTTTGCATGTGTGCCCGAGTGTACGCACGTGCGTGTGTGGTTATGTGTGAGCGCTCATCTGGGTGTACAGCTGTTCGTGCCCTGGCTGTGCAGTCCCCTGTCCCCCGCTCCTGAGGCCCTGCTCTGTGGCCCTCTCCATCGCCATTAAGCCTCGCTGCAGCCCCGTGGCAGGTGCCCTCATCTGCCCCTTCTGCACTTCGCAGACCAGGAGGCAGAGGGTCGGAGAGGGGAGGCGCCTGACTGCGGAAGGAGCAGATGCAGAATCTGGACCCAAGCGGGTCGTGGAGGCCTGAGCTTATTAGCTTCGAGTCTTTACTTCTCCCAAGCAGTCAAAGGCTTCCACTGGCACCTGTGCAGGCCACCTTGTCCCCCTGAGCGCCTGGTCAGGAGCTGTGGAGGAGACCCGGAGCACTGGTGTGCCCTCCTTGGAGGGGTGGGGAGCTGGAGACGTGGGGTGCACAAAAGGCATTTGGGAAAAGATGAGTACTGGGGCGGGAGGAGGGCAACGGGGTGGAGGCCTGGTGGGAGGGCTTGCCAGGCTGGAGAGGGCACTGGACCCCAGGCTCTGCAGCCTGGATGAGACCGTGGTTCAGCGGCTCAGACCAGGCCATGCCTCAGAACTCTGCAGGTGTCTGAGGGCAAGACTCCCTAGCCTAGCCTGGGGGTCTTGGATCAGAAACTTGGGGTGTGGGCTCCGGGGAGGGGAGGGTGCATCTTTAGCTCCTCGCCCCCACTTGGGCCAGGCAGCTCAGAGCCTGATGGTGCCCTCAGCTGATGGCCCCTCTGCCTCCAGGCAGCACCAGCCAGTCTCCCACCTGGGAGGCAGTGGGGTGTGCGTGCACACACACGCTCGTGTGTATCTGTGTGCCTGCACGCCCACCTGTATGTATGTGTGCATGTGTGTGGCAGAGGCTGTGCCCAGGTGTGGCCTCTGACCCCTGCCCACCCCATCCTCAGGTGCGGAAGATCGCGCCCGAGTACTACGACCACCTGCCGCAGCACCACTCCTGGGCGAAGGTGCTCTGGGATTTTGTATTCAAGGACTCACTGGGGCCCTATGCCAGGGTGAAGCGGGTGTGCAAGCTGGCAGAGGACCGCCTGTGAGACCGACTGGCTGGCACCCAGAGTGGATGGATGCCACCGTGCCCAGGGCTGCTGCCCCACCTCGGCTGCTGTTGCACACTGTGCCCCCTGGCCTAGTGCCCAGAACTGGTCTGGCTGCATGTGGCTCTTGCACGCTAGCTGCTGCTTTGTCCCCCATCCCTGGGACCGCACCTGGAAAATCTTGGTCTGCACGTGACTCACTGTGACCTCAGGCCAGGCCCTCCCTTTCTGGGCCTCATGGGGAGAGGCCTGGCCCCGCCCTGGATGCCCTATGCCCACGGTCTTCACGCAGCGGATTTCTGGTGTTCCCGTGCCCTAAATTAAACCCAGAATTTGTTTTCACATCCATAGATTGTGCTTGCGAGGGGGGCTTGGCTCCAGCCTGGACCTCAGAGAGCCCCATGGGGGCTGCTGTTGTAGTTTTATGGTTAGGCAGCATTCCTGGGGGGCCCTGCCATTGTGGGTGGCCGGCTCTGGCGTGGAGGCTGCAGGAGGCCCCAGCATGTCTGGAGGTGTGTGGCCCTGAAGCCTCTCATTTCGTCTCCCACCTTGGCCCCCCCTGCACCGTACCCCCTACTGCCTGTCTAACTCCCGCCCCACCTTGAGCCCTCACCCGTGCAGGAAGACTTCCCTGAGCCCAGAGAAGGTACAGGCTTGACACTGTGGGGTCTCCCCCACCCAGCTCAGATGTGGGGTTCCAGTCCTTGAAGAACAGGTGCCACAGGACAGACAGGGTAGGTGGACAGGCAGCTGGACAGACAGGTGGCCACCCAAGCAAACTATAGCTCTGAAGGAAGCAGGCTGATGTCCTGGGTGTCCTTGTGAAGTGGACCATGGCTCTGTTCCGACTGAAACCTAGGGAGCCTCTTTCTATCAGCCCCTTGGCTCTGAAGGGCTGCACTGGGGTGAGGTCCTAGTCTCCCAGAGGCAGGAAGGCAGGGGACAGGGGCCTGGGCCAAGCCCTCCCTGTCAGATGAATGGTGTGGGCACAGCCTTACAGCAGTCTGGGGGAAAGGCAGCCTCCATGACTTAAAGCTGGGGAGGCAAGGACACCCCCAGGCGAGGGCCCAGTGGGGTCATCTCAGCTGACCCAGGAGGGAGGGCTGGAGGGAAGGCATGTTGTAGCTCCCACCTGGTTGGTGCCTGAGACCGTGCAGGCACTGAGCAAGACCTTCTTGTCCAGGGCTGGGAGTGGCCTCAGTAGGTGCCAGGCATTCCTGTCCCCAGATGTTCTGATCACCGAGATGGCCCTGGGGAAGAGGCCCCTGTCCCCAGGCTTGTGCAGGGAAGGGCAGCTGGGCGGGAGTACTTTGAGCCTGGGCAGCAGCCCGTCCTTGTGCACACAGGTTGGCCTGCCAGTGGAGCCCAGATCCTGACAGGACAGTGGGGTGTGACCTGGCCTCACCCACAGGCTGGAAGAGGCCCAGGGCAGGGAAGAGCCCCGCCACCACCTGCCAGCTCCCACAACCAGGCCCTGAGATGACAGGATTCCTGAACTCGGGGCTGCCTGGCAGCAGGAGAGCAGCTCTGGGAGCTGAGGAATGCGCGGAACCTGGGGCAGGCCACTCAGAGGTCTGGGCCTCAGGCTGCATCCCCCCAGTGGGCAGAGTGACCCGGTCCCGTCTTCAGGGGTGTCGGGATCACTCAGTGAGATGAAGTGTGTTGAGTCTGGCCAGAAAGCAGCAGGCCCCTTGCTAGCAGCCAGACCCAGTTCCTGCCTCCTCTCCTCCTCCGTGGCCCTGGGAGGACAGCTGGGTCAGGGGCTGGGCATGCTGCTGTGTCCACAGTGGCCGAAAGGTGTTGACAGGATTTCAAGGTCAGCCCACTGGCCAGGGCGTCACTCCTAGCCCAGGGGTGGCAGTTGTTGCGGCTGAGGGCTAGACCCTCTCTGGTTCCGAGGGGGGAGCTTGTGTGGTCTGAGAAGTGCTGGAAATGCTGGGGTGGGCATTTGGGAGGCCCTGATGCCACGGGCAGGGCTGTGGGTCCCCCTGGAGGGATGGAGTGGACGGGGGTGGTGAAGCCTATTGGAGCCTGCGCCCTGCGACGGTGGGTTGAACAGGCGTCTTCTCCTGGCCCTGCCAGTCAGAATGCACGCAGAGTCCCGCTGCTGTGCTAGGCGTGGATGCCACCCAGGACCCATCCCCGTGGGCAATGGTCCCCGGAGGCAGGGCCCTGGGCCCGGCCCACGCCCCCTCCTGGCCACCAGGTCACGGGCCCCTCCCCCATAAAGGCGCCCTCATCCAGGAGGCGCCAGGCGCCCGTGTCAGAGAGCGAGCCGAGCCGGGGGTGTGGACAGTAAGCGTTTATTACCACGTGGACACAGACACCGCGCTGCCGGACAGACCCCACGACGCTGGGGAGGGATGCGCGTGCGCAGCTGCCACTGCCGGCCTGGGTGCCAACAGCGCCACCTAGGGGAGAACTCGGAGACCATCTAAGGAAGCGCGTGATTTGGGGTCTTCTCTATAAACCAAAAGAAATGTACACTTAAATAGGCAAATATAAAATACAAAAAAGGCGAGTAGACCTGGTGTTCTGTGTCAGGTAGAATCTAAAAAAATCCAGAAATTGAACTTTTCCCCTCATTTTAATATTATCACAGGTTAAGACTTGAGTGAAGCACATCCGGGCTTCAGGGCGGCTGGAGTGCTGAAGGCGGGCTGCCTGGGCTCCTCGCTGCTCCCGCCGTCGGGGGGAGGGTGTCTCGGGCGGCGGCGGGGGCCGAGGGCACTACGAGGTGCTGATCCCGCTCAGCTCCTGCCTGATGGCTGAGGGACAGGGGGGGCAAGGAGGCTCAGGTGCCATGGAGAGCAGCCTGGCCGCTCCCCACCTGGGCACCCAGAGGTCACGGGGCACAGGCTGGAGGTCAAGCGGTGCCTTGGGCTCTGGCATAGATTCTGGGTGACAGCAAAGCCCTTGTGGGTCTCAGCTACTGTATGTTGGGTGGGCAGTCCCTCCAGGGCAGTGCTGCCCCCCTCCCTGTTAGAGGGCAGCTGAGGTCGTGGGGCCATGGCCTGAGCTGGTGAGGGGCCGAGGAAAGGGAACCAGGGGCCCTGGTCAGGTTTGCCCAGTGGGCACCCTGGTTCTGCCCCAGCAGTGGCAGTAGGAAGGGTCCGGCCTCGGGCAGGGTGGACAGGCCGACCACCTTCTCTCACTCTTCTCCCCAGTGTCCTCCTGTCCCCTCTCAGGGGTCTCTCCCAGATTTGGGCCTTTCTCCTGACAGATCCCACTGGGCCTGCAGCCAAAGGCCGGGAGCAAGATAAGGGCTGGGTGCTTATCACGTAACGAGCGGATGTTTCTCGGAGCCCTGAACTGCTTGGGCTTTCCCACGGCCCGCGCTGACAAGGCAGCTTCCACCTGCAGCTGCACCAGTGGCAGGTGGGAGAGGGGCCGAGAGACCCCTTCCCACCGCGCCACTGCCTCCATCCCCCCGCTCCCTCTGCAGGTGCGCTGGCCGACAGGCCCTGCTTCTGCCCCACACCAGCTTTGGCCCTGGGGCCACTGGGCAGCCCCTCCTGGGTGGGGGCACCCAGCAATAAAGCCGGGTTAATAGTTGGCTGGTCTGTTTCCTCTCTGGCTCCGGCTCGGTCTTGCTCCCTTCACTCATTAACTCCTTATCTACACAGCCCAGACCTGCAGGGGGCTGACCAAACAGGAACTGAGTGCCTCTGCTGGGGCAAGGCCAGGGTGTGGCCTGGCCACCCAGCTCTGGACAGGGGTCTGGGTCTGCCGTGCCCCAGGCAGGCTCCTGCCCTGGCCTTGCCTCTCTCCAGGCTTTAGGCAGCCCTCTGCACCAGCACCCACCCCCTGCCCCCAGGGGTGACTTCCCCTCCTGCCTCTGTGGGGAGGGAGGTGCAGTGGGTTCAGGCCGTGCCTCGCTGTTCTGGCCGGGTGGAGCCTGCCCTGCCCAAACCTTTCCTTTTCCTCTGGCTCCAGATCTGAACTGCTGTGTCAAAGGCCCTGGCAGGAACCGGAAAGAAGACGGGACCTGCTGTGACAAGGCCCTGCACTCTGCAGCTGAAGGCTCCTTTTGGGGGAGCCACCAGCTGGCTCCCGGGCCCAGCTCCGAACAGGCTGTGAACTAGGTCAGGACCCAAGATAGTTCTGTGGCTCCCCGGGCCTCCTGAACTCCTGGGAGTGCAGAGGCCACCCTCACAACCCTAAACCCTGAGACGAGAGGTGGCAGAACCAGAAGGCAATCTAGGGCCACAGACCCTGAGTAAAGACGGGAGTTCAGGCCGCTCTCCTGCTCTGGGCTGTGGAGTGCGTCCTAGGGTCTTGTCACCGTCCACACACTCACAGCCCCGGAAGCAGCAGGGAGGGAGGGGGAGCTCAGGCCGAGGGCCACGCCACCTGGGGCAGGGGGAGACTCGGGCACTTGACGTGTCTGAGCCTCCTGTGTGGCCACGGGGATGGGCGGTGCTGTGGGCTGTCGGGAGGAAGGGGGGCTCCACGTGCAGACCGCAGGTCTCCTGGGCCAGGACAGGCCTGGGTGACAGGCCACTCTGCCCTCCCGCAAGGGCCCGGCTGGGGTGCTGCCCCAGTGGGGGTCCTCCACTCACCATCGATGATCTCTTCCTTCACCTTGTGAAGCTCTCGGACCACCTCCTCGAGGATCTCCTGTCGGGAGCAGAGCCTCCAGGTGAAGAGGAGAAGGGACGGGCGATGGAGGAGGGCCGGGGGCCTCGCTGGGCAGTGTGCATGGGGCAGCAGCACCCTGGGCCTCCCTCTGCCATGGCCTACCCCCTACCAAACACACAGGGGAGGGCGGCATGTGGACGGGGAGGTGGGCTGCCTCCCAAAGCTTAGGCACCCTCTGGGGAGAGCACAGCAGCCTGGAGGGGGAAGCCCGGGAGGCAGGCAGAGTGCCCGGAAGGGCGAAGGGGCCCTTTGTTCCGGCAGTGACATGGGCACCCCCTTCCTCCTCTGCTGGTTCCTGGCTGACTTCTGGTGGCCACCCGCGTCCCACTGGGCCTGCCTGCCCATGTGGCCCCAAGACAGTCCCCAGCCTCTGGCTCCTCCAGGCCTCTCAGGAAAGGACACACTCACCTGCTTCATCCGGTCCAAGTCTAAGGCATCCAGGGCCACGTCGTTCACACTCCCCACCGGCTTCACCCTGGGGACAGTACGGCAGATGCAGTACAGTGGCCTGTGGGTCGGCAGGCGCCCGCAGCGCTGGGGGCCTGGTGTGGGAAGGCGGCCGGGGCAGGGCCTCCCCTCTCAGGGGTAGGACCGAGCACCGTTCTGCTCCCATCACCTTTCAACTGCTTTTTGCTTTGACCTCTGGCCCCTAAAACTACTCCAGAAGGATTCTAATGCCCCACCCCTCCCTCAAGAGGGCCTTGTGGACACTGTATTTCCCAGCCTGGGGGCAGGACTTGGGGTCTGTTTTCTGATACAGAGATGGTGGCAGTGCAAGCAGTGTTCCCCAGCATACATCACCTGGAAAGGAAACACTGGTAATTTGCCTCTCAGGGTGGGGTGTGTCTATGCCTCTCGCTGACCTGAGGCCTGGGAGAACTAGTCACAGTGGCTGTAAACACAGCACCAATTGCAAGACTGGTACAGTGAACCCTTGTCCCACAGGCATCCATCCACCTGACACAACCCACGTCCCTGGCTGGTAACCGGCTCGGGTGAGCAGTTACCTCTAGAGCGTCCTTGAATGCGCTTCTGCTCTTCTGAGGCCAAGGTCTCAGGCTCGTGGGCTACACTCTGAAAGGTTTCTGAGCTAAGGTTAGCTGGTTTGAAATGTGACGTCTCTTGAGCATGAATCCTCCCTGGAAAATCTTGGCAAATGCTCTCCTCCCCACCCGGCCTTTCGGCACAGGACCAGGGTGCTGCAGGCACACCTCTGGATCCCATTTCTGTCCCCAGGGGAGAATGGCGGTTGGAGCCTGCAGATTCAGGGATATGGGGTGGCCTGAGCCAGCCATGGGGATTGGACGTGATGGATGGCAGACCACAAGGACCCTGCGGGGCCAGCACGCTGCAAGGGGTCTCCGTGCAGGTAGGACCATCTGGTGAGACTGAGGATGGGTGTCCCCAACAGCTACAGCGCTGCAGAGCCGCTTTTGAAACCGCGGGGAGGCCCCTCAAAGAACTGAACCCAGAATGGCCCCATGATGTGGCACCCCGCTCCTGGGTGTGTCTGAAGGAGATGAGGTCACTCTCCCAAAGAGAGACAACCCCGTGTTCACTGCAGCATCACTGACAATAGCCAAGTACTGTCCACGGAAGGGTGAGGAATGACATGCGGTGCACACGCCCAACGGGATGGTATTACCCCGTAGCTTGTGACAGCATGGTGGGCCTGGGGCACATTATGCCAGGTGAAATAAGCCGGAGAAAGATACTGTGTGATCTCACTTATATGTGCAATCTACGAAAGCCAAATTCGGAGAAACAGAGCAGATTGGTGGCTGCCAGGGGCTGAGGGAGGGTACCTGGGGGAAGGGGGCCCACAGGCACACACTTCTACTGGGAGATGGACAGGCTCCAGGGACGTAAGGTAGAGCACGTGACTGACTGGCCCCATGGTGCCATGTACTTGCAAGTAGCTAAGAAAACAGACTCTGAAAGTTCTTGCCACGCCCATACCACAAAGGATAACTACGTGAAGGGACGGATGTATAAACAAACCTTGTGGTAATCGTTCACAAATATGTCTATCGCATTACTATGTCATACACTTTAAAGTGTTAGATGTCTATGGTATCTCCACAAAGCTGGGAAAAAATGCACTGAATGTGATATACCTAAGGTTTTAGTGGCCTAGTGCATAAACCTGATTTAAGAAAAAGAAATAAAGAGAAGAAAAATAAAGTGCTCCACTTGGGTGAACTCAGGAAAAGCTGAATACAGTCCTGAACAAGTTTCTAAGTAGTTCTGCATCCTGATGGGGCAAGAGGTGCAGCCCGAGACCCTGGGTCTCTCATGCCTGTCCTGCAGGTTCAAGTTCCTGTTCAAGCGACAGTTTCTGGGCCACCTGGGCAAACCGCCTTGCCTCTCTGGGCCTCGTTCTCCCCATCCGCACGCCTGTTACCTGATGGGAGCCTCCTGACACGCTCTCTGAGCTCCGCAGCACTCCAGCCCGAAGGGCCTCATCTTGTGAGAGCAGCCTGGACCTGGAGAGCCCCATTGCGGGTGGGGGTGCCCTTGACGATGCCCACACCCAGGAGGCTGCTTGGCAGCCTGTCCTTACTCTGCCCGCAGGACGCGGCCAGCTCTGCCGGGAGCCCGCCGCCCTGCCCCCTCTGGAGGCCTCTGCTCCCGGCTCCCTTGGGTCCATGGGCACCTACGCAGCCAGGGGAGCCTCCTGAAGTGCTGGCCCATCACAGCACACTGTGCTTATTTAAAGTTCTACAGTCGGGGCCCTGTGCACAGAATAAAATCCACACTTCAGACCATCTTCCCCTCTGAGCCTACCTTCCTCTACCCTCCCTACTTTCTGCCACTTGCCAGCCACCTGGGCCTCCTTTCTGTTCTTCAAGCCTGCCAGGTTGGCTATAGGCTCAGGGCCTCAGCACTACCATTCCTCCAGCTTGGAAGGCCGTCCCCACAATCTTGGCAGCGCAGGCTCCTCCTCATCCAGGTCAACTCCAGTGCCACCCCTGAGAGGCCTGCCCCAGTCCACTCGCTAAAGCACCTCTGTCCTCTCACAGTCTACCATGCAACTTCTGTCTTCTCCAGAGTACCTCTCAGAAACCACAGCTATCTTATTTGTGGACCTTTCCAACAGAAAAATAAATGAGCCTCTTGCAGGCAGGACCTGCAGGACCCAGCTCAGAGCTGGCTAACCATAGGCCCTCAACAAGTCCTAGCTGACTGCTAAGCCCTCCTCACGCCGCTCCTGCCAGCCAGGCCAGAGCTGACTGCCCTGTTTCATTGGGCAAGACCAGGCTCAAACGCCACCTGCTCTGTGTTAAGAGTGGTTTCCCTTCGATGTGTGGTGGGCAATTCTCAGTATGAGACAACCGGAGACAGTTCTCAGGATGGCTCTAGATGCCTGCAAATTCAGGCCACACCTCCTAGGGTTACTATGTGGCTGTTTGTCTCTGACTTTTTGGGTAACCTCTGTCTCAAACATTGTATCCTGGTATCACACAAGCTTGGGCTGGGAAACACGGGCGGGCAGCATGTCCCTGTGAGAAATGGCTGTGCTACAGGCAGAGGAAGGAGAGGCGGTGGTGCCAGGCCAGCCTCAGGACCGCTGAGCTGGGGGCGCAGCTTCTAGGGAGCACTACCTGCGTCCAGCTGTTGGCCACACAGCTGTGCCCAGGACCACCCTGGGAGTGGGGATTAAGCAAGCAGACCTTTTAAGGAGCAGGGGAGGAGGGAAGTCTTCGAGGCCACCTGGCTGGCCCAGTGTTACAGTTAGTGCATCCGGAGCTGGGACTCGAGCTCAGCCCCACTCCACGGCCTCGGTCTCTCTGAGAGGACAGGAAGGAACGGGCCTGCTGACCCCTGAGGTACCCTGGCCCTACTGCCCCTAGGTATGAAAGAGCAGATCACCCTTCCCAGAATAAACCGTGAGACGACGGGACATGGACAGCGCCGGGGTTGTCAGTCCCCGGCAGGGGCGAGGAGGCCCCAGAGGCGGGTGTTCGGTACCTGGAGTGCGGCTGCGCCTGGAGGGGGCTCTTAGCTTCGGGGCTCTTTGCCACAGACGGGGTTCTACAGCAATGGGACGAAACAGACGCGTGAGCAGGTGCTGCCCCGCTGCGGCCCCAGGCCCGCAGCACAGGCCTTCCCTGGTCAGCTCACCTGGACAGCAGTGAGGGCACTGGCTTCTCCACCGAGTTGCTCCGCTCCCAGGGCTTCCGGCCGGCCTCTGTCAGTTCACGCCACAGACGGAGAGCCTCAGAGCTGAGGACTCTCAGCGGCCACCCCCACCCCTCACCGTCTGGGGCAGGAGGCCTCCCTGTGCCAAGGGTGCGACTCCCCTGTCAGGGAGGCCTGCCTGGGGCTGAGCTGGAACCTGGCTCCTTGTTCCCAGTCCTTTCGGCCCAGGCAGCCCCTGCAGGGCTGTAGATGGCACTGCTGTCACCCCGAGTCCTCCTACTCGGGACATGAGTAGGGGGACTCCCCTATCCCCTACTCCCGTTCCCTCCACCCAGGTGACCCTGATTTGTGGCCTGGTTTCAAGTCCTCTCACTATGGCCGGGTCCTTCCTTGGCATGGGAACCAGCTGGTCAGGGCACCTCTAAACTATGATTCTAGAGTTGACCTATACCTCCAGCAATGGGCCGAGTGGGCAGAGGAAGCCCCTCGTCTGGGCACTCCCAGGGCGGCCTGAGGCCCACGCTTGCTTTTGGGGCCCTGTGGCCCCACGTGTCCCTGCTGCCCACTCGGTCTCCTCCAGGTGCTGCAGCTGGTCCTTCCTCATTCTGGGCTTGAAACTGGTTTGTCTCTCCTTTTCCTTTTTTAAGTGGTAAGAACTGGATCTACTTTTATTTCAAGACATTTGTGGAACTGAGTTAGAGTCACTGACACTGCAGGATGAGCGGAGGCAGAGGCCGAATCCCCGGGGGCAGCAGGTCTCCGCACACCGCAGGCCCTCGCAGGGCGGAGGCAGGTCTCCGCACAGCCCTGCTCGGCGAAACTCCAGGTGGCCTTCAGCAAACCGCTTGACCACACTGAGCTGCAAGCTCCTAACCTGGGAAACACCCCATCCACTGGGGGGTGAGGTGGCCCTGCAGCTCGCCAAGAATCTGTGAGGTGGAGAGGATGTCTGAGAAGGAGGATGTGGGACGCGGCCTGGCAAGGGAGGCACATAAGCTAACAGAGCCTCAGGAGCCGAGACCGGAGCAGGGGCAGAGCCACAGCCGGCCAGCAGCCGGGAGCCAGCAAGAGCCTCCCTCCGCAGGGCAGGGGATCCTATTCCTTTTCTGCCTCTCCCTGGCATGCCAGTGAGCACGGGCCTGGCTCAGAGTAGACACTGAACAAATGTTTGCTGAATGACTGACTGACCCCAGCAGCTTCTTCCCACTGTATGGACTCAAGGCACTCCTTAGGACTGTGTTTCTTCCCTGCCCATCACTTCATGGACCTCATCTGGTGGTCACTATCAGTCACAGTTAGCGTTCTGCAGGGACTTGAATGTGACATTTACATATTCCTCCTCAGAGCCGCCGCCTGAGGCCAGGAGGCTGAGTTCCAGGTGCCATCTCCCACCACATGATAGGTGCTGACAGGCTAGCTGCTTCTGTCGTGTGGGCAAACGAGAGGGCTGATGGGGTGGTCCGGGTGGTCTGACAGGGCTCAGCGCGGAGGCCATAGCTGACACCCGCCCAGGGCTCCTTGTGGAGGCTTCCATGGCAGATGACAAGGAGAGCCCACCGTGCAGCTCTGCTGGGCCTCTCTGCTCGCCCAAAAAGTGAGGCGGCCACGCCAGACCCTCCTCCTGTGAGGGCCCCTTCTGCTCTGAGACCTCATGCCTGGTGCAGGCAGAACAGGACTTCTTACCTGAGGCGTTAGATGGCTGGCTGGCCGCTCGGGTCCCTGGAGATGGAGAGGTGCTAGGCTCTTCCTACAAAGGAAAAGGGCTCTGACGTCGGGGTCCCCTTGGGAAGGCTGGTTGGGGCAGGGACAGGGTACTGTGACCAGGTCATCTAGAACTCCTCAGTTTTCCAAGTTTTCTAATTAACATATACTACTTTTTTTTTTTTTTTTTTTTTTTGAGAGGGCATCTCTCATATTTATTGATCAAATGGTTGTTAACAACAGTAAAATTCAGTATAACATATACTACTTTTATAATCAGCAAAACAAGGAATATTATTAACAAATGAACACCCCACGTCTGGGCGGGGAGTTGGTCTAGCCATGGGCAGTCAGGGGGGGCCCCAGGCTCCTGCAAATTGGGACGTTCTTCCAGCCTAACGGCCCACCCCCGAGCCACGCGGGCCGCTCTGTGTCCCCCGGCTGGTGACTTCTCACGGGCACGAGTGTGGTGGGAGCTCCTGGGGAGCGCCGGCATGGGCAGGACGCGCACTGCCTCTGACGAGGAGCTTGTGCCCCGCTGCCCCCGGGACCGCCCCACAGCCTGTGGGAGTGGCCAGATGGGACACACGGAGGGACCTCCAGCTCCAGGCCTGCTCGCACCTGTCGGCTCGTGCGAGCATCACATGTCTGGGTGACCCCCGAGGGCAATGAGCACAGGGGCCAGCTGTGTGCCAGGCTCTGGGAGTGCTCAGGGCTTGCCCACAGCAGAGCCTGTGTCCTAGAGACCTGGCTGTGGTGACCCCACAGGGTAGGGAGGAGGAAGTGGTGAGCAAGCAGGTCAGGCCAGAATCTCGCCCTAGCTGCTCGGCGTCCCTGGCTGCCCCGTCGCCCACCTGGACGTCCCTGCCTCTCTGCCCCCTGGCCTGCGTTTCTCTTTGCTGAGCACTCTCTCCTCGCCTCCACCCTGCAAGCTCCAGCTCATCCTTTAAAGCTCAAGGCAAACGCCCCTTCTCCGGGAGCACCAGGCCGGGCCTCGGCCCTTCTCCCCAGCCCTGGGCCTCGGCACTCCCTGACAAGCCTGCCTCTGTGCCCTCTCCATCAAGGGCAGAGGCGGCGTCCTGCCCCTCTCCGGATCCCCTGACGTGCACAGGGCCTGGGTCCCGGCAGGACACCGCGGCCCAGAGAATCTGTGTCTGCTCCGCCCACGGAGGGAGCCTGGCGACACTCACATGACAGAGGTGAATAATTCAACAGTAAAAGAGTCTGGTGTTCATTATGCTCATGTATTTTACCAAGATTTTATACTATTAAGAAAATGGCATTTATTAAATAATAATAACAAATCTTCTATTTTTATTAAACAAAACACATATAATGGTTATGTGGAGCTCTCGACCAGGGAGAGCTGAGCACCTGGCCAGGCTGGGCGAGTGCAGTCCTGACCAGAGGCACATCTGCTTCCCATCTGGCCCGTCGGAGGCCAGGGTGGGCGGCTCTCGGGCTCCCATGGCCACATCCAGGGCCAGTACTCAGTGCTCTAAGGAGGAGACCCCCCAGCACCCCACCCCGCCCACCGTGCACCTGTGAGAGTCAGGCCACGTCTGCTCACCACCTGCCCCCACGCTGAGAACAGA